GAGGTCATGGTGGGGTAATTCGCTTCGTGGGTTTTGAGTTGTCTGGATGCGTAAGCTATTACCTTGCCATTTTGCATTAGTACGCATCCTAACCCCTTCTTGGATGCGTCGCTGTAGACTTCAAACCCTTCCGATCCGGAGGGTATGGCTAGCACGGGTGCAGTGGTTAGTTTATCCTTTAATTCTTGGAAGGCCGAGATGCAGCCGTTGTCCCAACGGAAGGGGGTTTCCTTTTTCATGAGCTTAATGAGGGGTTGGGCTGTCTTGGTGAAGTCGGGTACGAACCTCCTGTAGTAGCCCGCTAGACCTAGGAAGCTTCGGACTTCCGAGAGTGAGTTCGGCGTGGTCCATTCTTTAACGGCGCGAACCTTAGCGGGGTCCACCCTAATCCCTTCTTTGGTTATCACGTGGCCCAAGAAGGCTACGCTGTCTTGCCAGAATTCGCACTTGGAGAATTTAGCGTAGAGTTGGTTCTCCCTGAGGGTTTGCAGAGATATGCGAAGGTGCTTCTCATGTTCTTCTTTATTTCGGGAGTAGACTAGGATGTCGTCAATGAACACGATGACGAAGTCATCCAGGTGAGGTCGGAATACTCGATTCATGAGGTCCATGAATATGGCAGGCGCGTTAGTGAGGCCGAAAGGCATTACGGTAAACTCGTAGTGGCCGTAACGTGTCCGGAAGGCCGTTTTCTGGATGTCTGGTTTGGCCACTTGGATTTGGTGATACCCGGATCTTAGGTCGATCTTTGAGAATACCCCTGCCCCTTTGAGTTGGTCAAATAAGTCATCTATTCGGGGAAGGGGGTACCTATTCTTTATAGTAACTTGGTTGAGTTCTCGGTAGTCGATGCACATGCGCATGCTCCCATCCTTCTTCTTAACGAATAGTACCGGTGCTCCCCATGGGGAGGTGCTGGGTCGGATGTAACCTTTATCTAGCAGTTCTTGGAGTTGCGTTTTCAGTTCCTTCATTTCCTTTGGTGCTAGCCTGTAGGGTGGTTTAGAGATCGGGGCGGCGCCCGGTATGAGGTCTATGGTGAACTCGACTTCTCTGGCCGGGGGTGCCCCGGGAATTTCGTCTGGGAAGACGTCGGTGAACTCGTTTACCACTGGGATGGCTTGTGGTTCGGGTGTTTTGGCGTTGAGGTCTTCGATTGAGCATAAGAAGGCCCCGTTTCCTTGGCCCAGATACTTCTTAATTTTCATCATGTTTATCAGCTTGATCCCTGGATTCTGGCGGGCACTGCGGTACGACACCCTCTTACCGTTTGGCCCTCGTAGGACCACTTTCTGCTATCCGCACAGGATTTGCGCTTGGAAATTCCCTAGCCAATCCATGCCCAAGATTACTTGCATCCCATCTAATTGAAACTGGATCAGGTTACTGGGAAATTCCACTCCCTGAATGGTGATCATTACATGCTCGTACATGCGATCACATTTTATGACCTCGCCTGAGGCCACCTTGACTTGGAGTCGGACCTTGGTGGTGGCGTTAAGGCCGAGCTGGGCGGCGAACTCGGTTGCTATAAACGAGTTGGTAGCCCTTGAGTCAAATAATATGATGGCTGGGGTGGCGTGTACTAGGAAGGTTCCGGAGACTATGTTGCTATCTCCGATCCTGGCCTTGCTTAGGGTGAGGATCCTTCCCCGGGTAGTCGGCGCGATGGTTTGGTCAAGTGGGGCGGTTTTAGGGTTCTTAGGTTCCTTGGCGAGAATTGGACGACTTCCTTCGGGTTTCCTTTTATACCCTAGTTGCGTCCCTGGAGGCGGGTTCGCTACCTGTTGTAGCTGACATGCCTTGGCATAGGCCTCTTCGAGGGTCTTCGGTTCTTGGGTGGCCAAGGCCCTCTGGTGTTCGGGCTTAAGGCCTGTTAGGAATTTCCTGACTTTGATCCCTTCGGTGGGTACTAGCTCGGGGGCGAGGCGAGCCAGTCGGCAGAATCGTTGGTAGTATTCTGAGACCGGGGCTGTCCCATGTCTTAGATTGAGAAATTCCTCGCACATGGCGGCTTTCAGGTGGTTGGGGTAGAACTGTTCTCGTAACTGCGTCTTTAAACCCTCCCAGTTGAATCTGGGGTCTTGTTCGTACATAGGCCCCTCGCGGGCCCACCAGCTGTCGGCCTCGTGCCTGAAGTAGAAGGAGGCTATCCTGACCCGGTGGCGTTCGGGGTATTGGGTCGTCCTGAACACCTTGTTGAATGTCTCAATCCATTCCTCGAGGGTTGTGGGGTCTTCGTCTCCCGAGAGGGTGGGTGGTTGATGTGCCGAGACTTGGTGGTGGATTTCCAAGTTCTCGTCTGTTGGCAGAGGTTGGGGAACGATAGTACTTAGTGCCTGGGCAATTTGGGTCAGGCGTTGTAGGGTTTGAGTCAAGATTTCTTGAGAGGGGTGTCTCGGTGTTCCTGACTGTTTCTTCTTGGGTGCCATCCTGGTGATTAAAGGTTGATGTTATTTTGTGTTTCAACTTGATATAATAAGTGAGGAAGAGATTTCTAATATTAGAGAGGGATGAAGTGCGGGGTGATGTGTAGGTTTCTCAATCTCACTGCGCATCCTACGATTCCTGAAGCCTATGTTCCTAGATACCTGGAGTTCAAGCCTAATGTCCTAAAGTCCGGCCTTAAGAGTCTTTTCCTAGGGTCAAACTTAGGCTCTGATACCAACTGTAACACCCCAGATTTTCAAGACATTTAAAACTTATAAATAAAGGTATTATCCCCTTAAATCCCAAAACATAATACAAGTGTGCGGGGTGCTATGCCACACCTGAGCTAGAGAACCCAGGTGCACATGCTAACTAACTAATATCCTCAATAATGTAAATGCATAATATGGCACGCAGGCCGAAAAAGGGAACTATCTACTTCTACGTTCCGAGTTCTAGCGCGCTCCAGTGACTTATTCTTCTGTGCCTGAAAGCCAAATATATCTGTTCAGCGAGAGATGCTGGTAACCCACTCCAACGCGTTGAAATACAATACATATAGAGATATATATAGATATACGAAAACCATTTTGAGCATGAAGATATATCCTACGAACTCTAGTTTTAAAATCGGGAATGACTCAACAATTAAGGCTAGACGCCAGCAGTAGACATAGCAAGCATAAGCATTTCACAATAGATAAAGCAGTTACAACAAGGCATAAACGGTAATCATAATCCCATCATAAACAATCCCCAATATGAAACCCATAGTCACATCCCAAGGCATCATAGTCACGACTCGTCCATATCACACACATAGCGCACATTGTTGGCGCCACGGGACCGATCGCATGCCCATACATGAGGGTCAGCGCATATAGCTCTGACACAGCCCCGCAGCACCATGCCCCGTATCGCAACACGGGGAGGTCGATCGCAACCGACCGATGAACCGCAGTTCATCATAATGCTTGATCGCAACCAAACAGTGGACCGCAGCCCAAGAGAGTGTCATCTGACCGCAGCCAGGATAAAGGACGAACCGCAGCTCGTATAGAAACGTTTGATCGCAACCAAACGGTGGACCGCAGCCCAAGAGAATGTCATCTGACCGCAGCCAGGAATACCAGTCTGACCGCAGCCAGCTTCTGAACCACAGCTCAGGATAACCAATCCGATCGCAACCGAATTGGGGTGACACACACACATAACACATAGCAAGCACATGCAACCCACGTTTACACATTGGGAAGGGGGTAAAGCATATAACAAACCTATGCGTGATCCATCACATACTAAGAGTACTCCTAAGGGGTTCATACTTCCTTCACCTAGGTCAATAGGATACCAATTCATCTAGCATGCGATATAACAGACTTATAAACCTACGAACGGTACCCGAAACATCAAACTAGACATAGGCACGACAAACGGGGTCCGTTGGGACACCACGGGGATCGGGGAAACATCAAACGGGGAAGCCGAAGTCCCGAGTGGGGTGAGATTCCAGCGGGTAGCCGGTGGGTGGGGGTCCACCCGCCGGCTGCCCGCCGGCTGTCACTGTTCCGGGCAGCGGGTGCCCGGCGGGCAGCTGCCCGCCCGCCGGCTGCCCGCTGCCGGAGCTGCCCGAGATTGCCGCGGGTAGGTGGCGGGTCCCCTACCCCCACCTACCCCCACTGACTCTTTTCACCACTTTTCGTCCCGGGAACCGTTGTGGAACCCGAAACCATGCTTAGACACTTTTCAACGTAATTAACGACAACACATAGACAATTAACGGATCAAATACGATAAACGAACGGCACATAACCTAACATGCTTTTCTAATCATAATCAACACACAAACATGCGATTTCCCACCCGATAATCCAAGAATAAGATCATACGATACAACCTAGGGTTCTAATCACTTTTATATCAACAAGAATACGGTTCGTCTTCTAATTGCAAGATTCGGTAGGAACAACACATAATCATCAAGGATACCAATTAATCATCAAGAACATCATAATCATCAAGAACAACACATAATCATCAAAATCCCAATTAAGCACATCATAATTATCAAGAAACTCCCAATATCAAGATTATCAAGATTCCCCATGGAATCATTAAATCAACATCAATAATAATCATAGTAATTCGCCATTTACAATCATATGGGGGAAACCCTAAGGGGAAATCATAGCTATGAAAATAGGTTTTGTTGAGACATGGATTACCTCTTAGCCTTAATTAATTCCTTGGCTATGAAGGATCTTTCTTTAAGCTTTCTTGCTTTCTTGATTTCTTCTAAGGGAATTCTTGGAGCTCTCCTGGGGTGGTGGGGCGTCTAGGCGTGTGGGGCTTCTAGGTGCTCCCTAAGTTCCCTATTTATAGATCCAAGGGTTTATTTAGAGTTTAATCCTATTGGGGTTAGGGGTTGGGTTTATATATTTGGGCCCATGGGCTATGGTGGCCTTTTTCCCTAATTAATCATTATAATTTATTCTTTCTCCTGGGTTATTAATTAATTAATTAATCAGTTGGTTTTAGGATTCGTAACACGGGGTGTTACACGGCCTGACCAACTTTCTTCTGCATTATTCTTTTCTTTGGAGTCGAAGAAGTTGGTAGAGGGATGTCAGTTTGAGTTGGAGCTGGTGTAGGGTCATCAGCTTGAGTAGACTCATTTTGTTTCACTCCTTTCGGCTTCTTTGGTCGTTCAGTTTCTGGGGTCTTCTTTCGTTTTGATCTTCTCTCGGGTTGAGTAGTTGGAGCAAGTTCTATCGCTCCCATTTCAAGAGCTCTTTGTTTTTCATATCCAGGAGGTTTTGTTTTCGTGTGACATATCTTTTGTCCTGGGTGAAGTCACGGTTTAAGAATAACTTCCTTGTGCTTTAGTAAGTACCCGATCATCAACCCGAAACCAATCTTTCATTTGATGTCCCCAATAGGTAGCTTTCCAGAAGAGATATTCAACTTTAGATCGTCGAAAACAACTTTCGACAAGTCCACCTTGAATCCATTTAGAAATGCATGAAGCATCTTCAACTTGTCCTTCGAGACATCCTCAGTTCCTGATGTCTTGTGTTCAACAATCTTGTTGAGAATGTCCACTGTGAACTCATAGTCGAGTTTGAAGGAATTTTCCTTAAGAGGCCACTTGATTTCTTCCAAAGACTGTTTGTTTCGAATTCTCTCGTTAAAGGCAGTTTGGTCAAATGCATGTTGGGAGAAATCTGGATAATATGAATTGTCCCTCACTAGGAAGTTGAAAGCTTCTTGAATATCGGTGCTTGTTAATGAAATGTCCTTCTTGTTGACCACGGAAGTGATGGTGGTTGTGTTTGAAGAAATCTTGGCATTGAGATAAAATCCAGTGACGTCGAAGGAGAAGAAGGCTTTGTAGACGTGGGTGACAAAGTTGTAGAGTCCGCATTCCTTGAGTAGATTGACAACTTTTTCACCGTAATCTTTGTCAAGTACATATTGCCTGAATCCATGAACATCCCACATGTAACCTCCGATTACATAATGTTCTCTAGATTTGATGAACCCGTCATCAGATATTGAATATGAAGGCACGGTCTCTACTTCACTTGTCTCAAGTGCTTGTTTGGATGCTTTTGATCTGGTGTTTTTCGCCATTGAGAATGAAGATTGAGAGGTTTTCTAGGTGGAGAGAGTTAGACTGTTTTCCGAGGATGAAGATGATTGTAAGACTTTGTAGAAAATGAAGAGAGGTTTTATATCAAGTGGCGTATGGAGGAAGAAAATGAATAGTGGGTATAGAGTTCTAGGTTAAACGGGTAAGGTCATCGGGTCGGACTCTCAATATGGTTCACCCGGATTTTGAATTGAATTCAGGAGGACAAAAACCTTTAATGCCCTTACCATTAAAGGATTTTTAAAGTAAAAGCCATGTACAATTTATACTGATAAGGCAAAGATCAAATAAAAAATGATAACTTCTCATTTAATGATGAGAGAGAATGTACTCAAGTATGGGACAAGGGCATTTAATGTCCGTCCTTTCAACTGCCATAATGTGCTTTTATGGGATAGTGGACCGCATTTTTCGCCCACACGATCTTCCTCTACTATTGTCATCAGACGATTGGGGTAATATTCAAATAAAGGATAAATCTTTTGAAATAACCGTCACCCATTAGATGAGAACATATATTTGTATGGACTTCGTGTGATCTTTGATCATCTCATCTTGATTTGGTGAATCAAATAAAGATTCATGGAGTGTCCACGAAACAAATAATGTTTCGTGAAGCTGTGTCAATATTCAGAATTCGTGTTGCGAAACAAGTAAAGTTTCGAGAATAACATAGTAAGCAGCTCAAAACACGAAACATGAAGTTTTATTTAATTGAAAGGATAGAGACACCCATTCAGAACAACAACCACTCCAACACGAATGACCAGACAACCCCACAACAACTCAACATGAAACCATTTCACTTGACTACAAGTTTTCATCAGAAAACTACTTCTTGCTCTTCCCTTTCGAGCTTTTGCTGGTTTCGCCCTTTATTAGGGAATTTTTGAAGACTTGGAAAGCGAGGTAGTCTTTTAGGGTTTGGGACATGCTTTCATATGATGCTGTGGCTTTAGAGTCATCTTCATCCGACTCGGGTTCAGCGTCATATTCGATTCCGCTACTGGGTACTTGCGGAGCCACATCTTGTAGTCTTTGTCGTAGAGAGGGTTGTTCACGTCTTCATCAATAGGGAACATACTTGAAGATCTTTTCTTCACACTGACGGAGGTGGTCCTTTGTTCAGATTAGCAACAGGTGGTGAATCATCTGCAAGGAATCCTTCTTTGTGAGGGTAGTGTTCTCCATCGAAGGAAATTTCTAAAGGACACTTAGTGATGTTGCCAGGGTATAGGTCACCCTGTTCTTCAATTCCCTTATTTTCCTCAGTGTCTCCTTCTGTCTTTTGGATGCTTCTCTAGTAAAAGGTTTCCTAAGAAGCATGGAACCCTTTTTCCTATCCATTTTCTCAACTTTGAGGAGGTGTGATGTTTCTTAGGTGCAAACCTCCTTTTATAACCAAGAAACTGAGATCACGGGTGGTGTTGATTGCAAGAAATAAATGACCATTCAATGCAACCATCAGTTATCCAAGACTTAATTCTGAAAAGTTTGTGTCGCATTGATTTCAACTTTTGACTGAGTTGGTAACCGACATTTCCAATGTCATCTTAGTGAGCCAGGTGTCAACAAATCATCCGACCGCATAGATTTTCTGAACTGGTCAAGAATGGAATGAATGCTACTTTTTGAGAGATTCTTTGTTGCATTCCCGTGATTAATGTCAGATAACCAACCAGTATCATTGAGAATTGTTTCATCTGATTTGATCAAAAATTAAATGAATCAGATAAAGATTCATTTATTTTGCGAATATTAAGACTGAATTTCTGAAGTATCACGAAACAAATGAAGTTTCGTGAAGATCATGAATAAGATAAAGGTTTATGATAACACACTGAAATGTTATTTCATCAGAGCAAGGACATTTATTACAAAGGTTCTTGTGTGTAAGAGAGATATCGTTCTTCTGTGCTGTGGCAAGTTCTTGTGTAAGAGCTGAAGGATGCTTGAATTTGGGCAGTCCAATAGCATTTTCTTCCCCCTTAGCAATATGCTCGGGAGAATTCGTCTATTCCCCTGAACTTGATTCTTCAGATGTGTCGTGGTTTGGAACAATTTTTGGTTGTCCATATTGAGCAAGAGATTGGATTAATTTCTCATCCGAAGATTCTGATTGGAGCGGCTGTTGAGCTTCTTCCAGTAGTTGCTTCAATCTCGCTTCGGCCTGAGCAACTAGATTATCATCTGAAATTTCTTCGTCTGATGAACTTTAAATTTGAGTTGATTCAGAGGATGATCTGCTTCTCTTGTGAGCCTTTGAGGAAGGCCTGATTTCAAACTTCATCTTGATGAAAGTTCTTTCCCTCACAGGTTCTTTCGTCTCTTTTGTTGGTGGTTCAACTGTTGGAGGCTCAATTGGAGGGTTTGGAACAGATTCGGCCTGACCAACTTTCTTCTGCATTATTCTTTTCTTTGGAGTCGAAGAAGTTGGTAGAGGGATGTCAGTTTGAGTTGGAGCTGGTGTAGGGTCATCAGCTTGTGTAGACTCATTTTGTTTCACTCGTTTCGGCTTCTTTGGTCGTTCAGTTTCTGGGGTCCTCTTTCGTTTTAATCTTCTCTCGGGTTGAGTAGTTGGAGCAAGTTCTATCGCTCCCATTTCAAGAGCTCTTTGTTTTTCATATCCAGGAGGTTTTGTTTTCATGTGACATATCTTTTGTCCTAGGTGAAGTCACGGTTTAAGAATAACTTCCTTGTGCTTTAGTAAGTGCCCGATCATCAACCCGAAACCAATCTTTCATTTGATGTCCCCAATAGGTAGCTTTCCAGAAGAGATATTCAACTTTAGATCGTCGAAAACAACTTTCGACAAGTCCACCTTGAATCCATTTAGAAATGCATGAAGCATCTTCAACTTGTCCTTCGAGACATCCTCAGTTCCTGATGTCTTGTGTTCAACAATCTTGTTGAGAATGTCCACTGTGAACTCATAGTCGAGTTTGAAGGAATATTCCTTAAGAGGCCACTTGATTGCTTCCAAAGACTGTTTGTTTCGAATTCTCTCGTTGAAGGCAGTTTGATCAAACGCATGTTGGGAGAAATCTGGATAATATGAATTGTCCCTCACTAGGAAGTTGAAAGCTTCTTGAATATCGGTGCTTGTTAATGAAATGTTCTTCTTGTTGACCACGGAAGTGATGGTGGTTGTGTTTGAAGAAATCTTGGCACTGAGATAAAATACAGTGACGTCGAAGGAGAAGAAGGCTTTGTAGACATGGGTGACAAAGTTGTAGAGTCCGCATTCCTTGAGTAGATTTTCTGAACTGGTCAAGACCACATAGATTTTCTGAACTGGTCAAGAATGGAATGAATGCTACTTTTTGAGATATTCTTTGTTGCATTCCCATGATTAATGTCAGATGACCAACCAGTATCATTGAGAATTGTTTCATCTGATTTGATCAAAAATTAAATGAATTAGATAAAGATTCATTTATTTTGCGAATATTAAGACTGAATTTCTGAAGTATCACGAAACAAATGAAGTTTCGTGAAGATCATGAATAAGATAAAGGTTTATGATAACACACTGAAATGTTATTTCATCAGAGCAAGGTCATTTATTACAAAGAAACGCAACAGGAAAGACATATGTCCATTTGAGATCATGATCTCAAAAGAAGATTACTTCTTCTCTTTCCCTTTTTCCATTGGTTCGTTCACCACATCAGGTTCCTCTTTAGAAACTTCTTCGGTCAGCTAGTTGCTTGCAAATTTCTTCCAAGTGTTGTAGGATACCAAGGACTCTGCCTCACTTCTAGATTCGTCTATATCAGAGATATCTTCTTCAGGGTTGTTTCGGACAAACTCCAGAAACTCCTTATCAAGGTTAGGGTTGGCGAGATCTTCCTTTGATAGGCATACAATGGACTTGGGAGTTTTTCCTTTTTGCTTCTTGATAACTTTTGCTCCCTCATTTTTTACACTACTTTCAGTGATGTATCCTTTTGATGGTAGTGACCCAATTTTCTTTTTGTTATCCATTTCTTCTTTGTAAGAGTGTATGAGACAACATGATGCACTTGCTATCCTTATATAACCATTAGAAGTGATCACGGGTGGTGGAGTTTAATGAGCATGAATGACCATTACAGCTTTAGTCAGTCATTATGAGGGTTATGAACGA